GCTTGGGCTCCACGCTGCGGGTCGAAGCCACGCCGAGTTGGCCGCGCCCCGTGTCAGCGCCTAGGGCTCGGACGATTCTTGGGGCGGGGGGCTAATGGAGGACGGCCTGGGGCACGGCGCTCAGGGCGTCAGGCGTCGACGGCGCGGTGGCCGCCAGAGGCCCAGTGCCCCGGGCCCAGGGGCTTCCGGCGCAGACCGGCGGAAAGGGCTGTTGGGCTCGAGGACCAGGAGGAGGAGGAGGAGGAGGAGGAGGAGGAGGAGGGGGTGGATTGGTGGTGGTGGCGGTGGACCGCGCCATGGCAGCCAGCGCGTGCTCACGACACAACCCTGACAATGGTTTGGGCCGGGCGGGCCCTATGGATACCAAGGCGAGCGCCCAGCGGGCGCAGCCTGGAGGCAATCTAATGGCCCCAGTTCGCCCATTGGACATCGGCACAATCCAGGCTACGCGCGACAGAGTGCAATCACAAAACAAGCTATAGCCGAATCGAAAAGACCGTCCGGCACAGGAGATGCGGCGTGACGGCGGGACAACCTGAAAAAAGTTAAGGGTCGCTGCCATTTTTGTCTCCTGCGCAACTGTCACCACTTTCGTTGGCTCCTGGGAGGCACGGCGGAGGTGAAGGCAGCGCAGATCCATTTGAGACCTCGCGGCTCCCTCGGGTGCTGCGAACTGCGCAACTGTCGCCACGTTCGTGGACTCCTGGGAGGCACGGCGGAGGTGGGGGCAGCGCATATCGTGGACATGCGATGTGCTCTTGTGTATGGAGCGTACAAAGGTTCGCCTCGCTTGGATCAAGAATTCGCCTCGGGTAACTTCTCTACGGGAAATGGCTTTTCATCCGGGGTCTTTGCTTGACGGTCCCGGGAGCTGGCGAGGGCCGCCAGATGCCGAAAACGATGAATAACCGCCGTCGTAACATTTTCAATACGTTGGAGGTCTGTGGAGGGCCCGCACCAAAGTTCACTTTGGTGAAGGGTCACTCTTGCGTGCAGTCGAACATCGAGGAGGAGGCGGGCGCATCCCTGACTTCAGATCCGCCGTGCTTTGAAAGAGTCCGCGAGTAGGGCGCAAAGTCCCGCACCGCTTGTCAAGCTCCTTGGATGTCGATTCCACCCTGCTTTGCCGCCACCGTTTTTCCGACACCCTCTTGCGGAAAGCTCTGCCCTGCTTCTCTGAGGCGGAAACCGCCGCCCCGGTTGTTCACGCCATTTCTGGTGCATGCCCGACACGACTACCTACCAGACCACCCCAACCCAACCCGAAGACCCGAATTTCGGGTTGGGGGGGGTAAGGGTTCCACATGTGTTTTTTCGATGTTCCCCGAACCCCCCCCCACTGGAAATCGAGGGTAAATCTGAGCCTTCGGGTTGGGTTGGGGTGGTTTGGTGGGTGGTGACGACACGAGTGGAAGTCGGAACATCCACCCCGGAGTACGGCGGCTCCGAAGTCGGGGCGGGCGGCCTGGATCCCTCGCCTCCCGGCGCGTCGACGAGCTGCGGGGGCCTCGGGGCTCTCCCGGGTCCCAGGTCCTCGGCGAGCTGGCCCCCGCACCACGGGGGGGGCACTCCCGACACGAGCCCAGTGCGGAGAGTCCACCAAAGCTCAGGTCGGGCACGTCCTCCTCAAGGCGGAGCTTGCAGGAAAAAATGGGACAGGATTAGAAATGCTCTCAAACATAGCCAACGAGTAGTCGGAAATCGTCCCCGGACGATTTTTGCTGCCCATTCTTGAATAGATTCCTCCTGTATCGGGGATGGACAGACCTCCCTCTAGTAAAACGTGGTCTAGTGAAAACGACCTCGGGCCCAGACCTGGCGGGCGCAGGCCTGGAGAATAACGGCCGCGGCGCCCTCTCGAGAACCGAAAACGGACAATTCACGAATCGACGTGTCACCGTTGGGGGTTCCGTCCACCCCCGACTGTAGAGGGACATGCCCGACTCTCACCAGAGCGCGGCGGACCCGAGGCGTCCGGGCGGGCGCGCGGGCTGTGGCCTTGGCCACGGTCGGCGCCGACACGATGCACGGCGCGACACGCGCGGACCCCCGACTTAAATTTGGCTGGCATGCGGGGGGGGCACGGGCCCCCTCCTCCTCCTCCTCCTCCTCCTCCTCCTCCTCCTCCTCGTCCCCCCCCCCCCTCCTCCTCCCCCTCCTCCTCCTCCTCCTCCTCCTCCCCCTCCTCCTCCTCCTCCCCCTCCTCCTCCTCCTCCGGGACGAGAGCCTCCTCCCGTTTTCCGGGGCCGTAAAGAAGAGGGCCCCGAGGGCCCGAGAGCGGCGAAAAGAGCCTCCCGAGGGCCCGCTTCTCTCCGGGCCCCTGTCCCCCACGGCGATCCTCGTCGACCCCGATCCCACCCCGAGCCTCCCCTCTCCTCGATCTCCGATCCTCCTCCTCGACCCTCCCTCCTCCTCGATCATCGAGCCTCCTCCTCGACCTGCCCCCACATATCCCTCTCCTCGATCTTCGATCCTCCTCCTCGACCCTCCTCCTCGATCATCGATCCTCCTCCTCGACCTGCCCCCATGGCGACCGACGCGGCAACGAATTGGCCCGCAGCGCGTGGCGCCAGCGGGGCGCGCGGGAGCCGCGCGGCCCGTCTCACTCGCGGGGGTCCTGCCCGAGCGCGGCGTGAGGCGGGGGGGGCTCTCCTCCTCCTCCTCCTCCTCCTCCTCCTCCTCCTCCTCCTCCTCCTCCTCCTCCTCCTCCTACAGGTTGCGTCATGGCATTGAAGTCCTGAGAATGGCGTTCTGGCACGCGTCAAGAATACAAGTGTCCCTGGGGGGTCTGCTCTGGATTGGTACCAGCATAACTAGTCAGAGGAGGAAAGGCAGAAAATTCGGCATCCAGTGCCCATCTGGAGAAGGCGGCCCAGAGGAGACAGGGAACGAAACCCCTGAAACAGTTCTCTCCACCCCTCTCTGACGGCTGGAACCAATGAGGCGTGATGCCCCACCTGTCCCCCGGCGGCCAGCTCCAACCAATAATCCTATCCTCCCAGACCCCCGACGTCATGATTTTGCCACAACGTCGGCCCCCAGAATTCTCTACCCATTCCCCAGGACCGGCTTCTCATTCCGAGTCATGGCGTTTACTATCCGGGGGCCGGCGAGGGCCCCCTGAGGCTGAAAATGACCAAAAACCGCCCGTCGCGAGTTGTTCACGACGCGAGGTGGTCTTGACGTACAGTCAACCCGTGTAGTAAGGATGCGCGGTAAGGATGCAAGGACCTTGGAAGGCCGCGTCAGTGTTCTGCGACCGAGGCTGGCCAGCGAACGTCGCTCAGGATGGGCCAGAGGGGCAACGGTGCAAGGGTAGCCTTGGAAAGTCGCTCGTTCTTACTATGCGGGTTGACTGTAGTTGGGAAGCCTGGAAATGGGCACCAACACCAACACAGGGGGTGGCCTCCACAGGGGAAGGATGATCCTCGATGTCGGTGTTGGTGGCAATAGTTCGGCCACCTCGGAAGCCAGAAGATGACCAGCATCGCCGAGGTCGGGATCTTCCTCCCTCGATGGACGCACACCGCCGATCTGGGTGTTGGTGTGAACCTCTAGGCCTGCGATGCAGGGTCCCCCAGGAGGAGGAGGAGAGGAGGAGGAGGAGGAGGGGAGGAAAGGGGGAGAGGAGGAGAGGAGGAGGAGGAGGAGGAGGAGGAGAGGAGAAGAGGAGCAGCTGAAAGGGCGCCCGCCGCCCTCCGTGCCGGCGGCGGCGGCGGCGCCGAGGGCCGCCGCGCGGGCGCCGCCGCGGCGCCGCGCCACGAGCAGCGCGGCCGCCGCCGCGGCGCCTGCCCCGGACGCCCGACGTCGCACGCGTCCTCCTCCTCCTCCTCCTCCTCCTCCTCCTCCTCCTCCTCCTCCTCCTCCTCCTCCTCCTTCCTCCTCCTCCTCCCCTCTCTCTCTCTTCCTCCTCCTCCTCCTCCTCCTCCTCCTCCTCCCTCCTCTTCCTCTCCTCCTCGTCCTCTCGGTCCTCGTCCTCCTCCTCCTCCTCCTCCTCCTCCTCCTCCTCCTCCTCCTCCTCCTCCTCCTCCTCCTCCTCCTCCTCCTCCTCCTCCCCCCAAGAGGACTAGACCGAAGACCCCTGACCTCCTGCGCACGTGAACACACACAACGGCCGACGAGGCTCCGCCATTTTCGGCCGTCGGGGCCCTCGTCGGGCACCCGGACCGTCCAAGGACGACGCAGCATGGAAGAGCGGGCCCCGGGGAGTGGGTCGAGACCTCCAGGGGTCGACGCTGTGAGAATCATGACGTCGGGGGCCCAGGGACGAAGGCGGGGTGAGCCCCAACTTCCAGATCACCCGGCATGTGCTTCAGCGGATGCGGCCTCCGTGAGGCCTGGCGGGTGCTGGAGGACGCGGCGAGCGCCGCGGCCGTTCCAGGGCGCCCCCAGGAGCGCTCACGGGAGAGCTCCAGGAGCACCCCTGGAGCGACGTGTCCTCATCCCACAGGCCTCCCTTCAGACCCCTTCCCTGGGGCTGGCTCTGTGCCCCGAGGCCCTGGGATCTGGCGTCACGAAAAAAAAGCACAACCCTGTGGACAAGAAACTCGACCCGAACCCGGGACCCCCTCTTTCTGGTGCACCTTCCGAGCCGGATGGACTTTCTGGTTGCGGAAAACGCCCTGGACGTCTTTTTGGGTAGTTTGCAGCTTTCTGCGCGGCGAGTCAACAACGCGGACCCGCAAACAATAAACAAAACTTTGTACAACAATTATGTTTCAAAAGCGTTTCGTGGCGAACACATGGCAACTATTCGAAACGGTGTGGCTCAAGCTACAGACGGTGCGAAAACATACCCTACAAACTATTAACGACGGGTTGGCGAACAGAGGATTTGTTGGCCGAGCCCCTCGGTCCCGCCGACCAGTGAGGACTCAGGCGTAGAAGTCTCGACGTCCAGACCGTTACGCCAGAGTCCTCAGTGCTCGGCGGGCACAAGACGACTCGTCTCCTCATCATCACCCCCGCTGATATGCCAAAGTCGCCCCACATTTCTTGGAGGGGTGTTGGTTTTGAACACGCATTGGAAACGGTCCAAAGCAGCCAGCTTCGATCGGCTGGAGCCCAGAAGAAAAATAACAACGATAAGAATGATACAAATTGAGGAGATCACCCAAACGGGATAATATGGACCAAATCCACGGGGACAGGGCTTACAGCGGATTCCCTTTGTCTATATACATACAAAAAAGCACTGTGCTTTTTCAAAGACCACCAAGCGGATGGACACGTGAGTGTCCTGGGGCTTGAAACACAGCAAGACAGGTTGTCCGCTGCGAGAAAAAGGAAAGTGCGACGCCAGAATCTCGGAGGGGGTGAGAAGGGTGTTGGAGAGAGGGGGTCGGAGGAGGGGAGGAGGAGGAGGAGGAGGAGGAGCTGAAGCAACCACGTTCCAAAAACGTGTGGCGACAACTTCTGGCCCATGAAGGGAGTGAAGATGAACAATGAACGGAACACAGCACGGGGAGCTCCCGCGACAGCCGCAGTCTGCTGTACAAGGTGGCTGTGTTCACCTCTGCGAGCGAGACGTAATGCGCCTGGGAGGAAATTCATGGAGGGGTAGGCAAGGAACGCACGCACACCAGAAACGACCGGAATTAGCGAGAGGAGGAAGGAAACCGAGGGAGGGGAACTGGCGATGGCCAGCAACCACTCGAAACAATGCACAACGTCTAGCTAATCACAGCGGCCAAATGCGCTTGCCATCTTTGTACAAGCGACAGGACCTCTACGTATGCCAGAAACTGCTATGGCTTTCCTACAGACTGCATGCAGGAGGCAGGAGATGGAGGGAAGGCAGAAACAATCAGCAGGCGAGGAGCGGGGAGATCGGGCAACGAAAGATCTGGACCTACGCGCTAAGACGTCTAAATTAGCGCACGCATGACGTAGCCCTGGTAACTGCCTGCGCACTCTAGGTCAGAGCGCAGGGTAGGGTTAGTCAGTGTTCTAAACCCGTTAGCCCGGCCGTCATCTTCATGTGAACTGTAAAAGATAGAAGACATCACTGATCGAATTCACTAAGCCCACAATTGCTGCGCAAGCCAAACAATTGCCTCGGAAGGCGAGGAGCGAAATTACTGAGGCCGTGCCCAGGCAGTGCCCAGCGGCGAGATCCCACCGCAGGAACAAATTTCTGCGCTCCCCCCATGAAGAGGACAAATTGCCGTAGAGATCCTCACGTGGCCGCGAAAGGCCCGACGGCCCGCCAGCGGCCCGCTCAGGCGAGTGCCGCCTCGCCGGCGCTGCCGGGGGCCTCACGGATCCAAATACGCCGTCCGTAAGTCCAGCCGGCAGAGCGGGCATCGACTCGAGCGCTCCAGCCACTCCCGGATGCAGCCCTCGTGGAAGCCATGGCTGCACTTCAGCTTGATCCAGCGCGCCGAAGGGTCCTCCGTCATGCAGACGACGCACTCGGCATCGTCCTGCTCGCAGCACATCGCGTCGGAGAACACGATGGAGACGACCTCCTCCGGGGCCGCGCCCTCCTGGCGCCAGCGGCCGTGGATACGACGCAGCCGGCCCAGCGTCAGGTGGGCGACGCCTCCGGCCACCGCCACGCAGGCCACGGACGGCAGGCCCCACTGCGCCACCGTCTCGGAGAGGCCGCAGAGGTCGTCCGAGCACTGGAAGCTCAGCCGGCGGATCACCTCCCCGAGGGCGACGCAGGAGACCACGGCCAGCTCGGCGGGCACCATGCAGATGGGAAGCGAGCACACCGCGCTGCAGTAGCAGAGCGCCCAGTACCACACGGCGATGCAGTCCCGCGGGATGGACTTCATGGTGAAGAGGACGATCCAGCCCTCGACCATGCAGAAGGCCTGCAGCGAGAAGGCCACCGCGCACAGCAGGAAGGAGACCAGGATCGGGGCCCGGAGCCACTTGAGGCCGGCGATCGCCTCGTCAGGCAGATCCCCGTCCAGATCGATGCAGAAGTTCGACCACAGCGCCCCCGTGAGTCTCCTCTGGAGTACCCGGTGCGGGTCCAGGAACGTCGGGACCAGCCAAGCCTGAAGGGGAACTGGGACACACAAATAAATAGACACAAATAAAAGGATTCCCCATATTTTCCAATATTTTCTGGGTTTTTGTCTTCCCCCCCACTTCCCATATTTTCCCATATTTTCCTGGGGATCGACGATTAATTGTGTCTGTGTGTGTTTTTTTCCTCCTGAAAGCCTCCGGGGGGGGGACCGACCAGGAGATGCTGCCCTCTCTGACCACGCGCGGCGGCTGCAGCGGGGCGGCGCCCGCCATCGCGGGCCGAAACGGGCTCGCGGCGTCTCGCCGGCGCCGGGCTGTCGGCGGAGGGCCGCGCGCACGGGCGCAGCTGCTGCGGATCTGGCCTGCCGATAAGCGCAGGCCTGAGCCAAACTGGCTGCGGACCCAGACCCCCGACGTAATGATTTTTTCATTACGTCGACCCCCAGAGGTCTGGACCCTTTCCCCATGACCGGCTTTGCATCCTGAGTCGTTTTTTGACGCTCCCGAGGCCCGGCGAGGGCCCCCGGAGGCCGAAAATTAGGAAAAACATCCCGTCATGATTTTTTCATTACTCGAGGGGGTCTGGGGAGGAGGAGGAGGAGGAGGGACCACTTTTTGTTGACGGTGTCCTGAGGGCATGGCGAAGGGCGATGGCGACCACCAGCTCACCGCCGGCATCTGTTGTTCCACGACGGGCGGGGTCGGGGCCCCCGCTCCTGCGAGGGGGCTTCGGGCGTCACAGCTCGAGCGTCCAGCGCAGCCGCTCGGGGCGCGATCCAGGCCACCCCGGAGCGCTGGATCTGCAGCATGCAGCTGGTGGAGAGCACCCAGAGGCGAGAAAGCCCCCAAGAGCCAACAGAGCCTCCCAGGGACTCTGGAGCAACGTCGACGGGGCAGGTCCGCGGGGTCGAGAGGGGGGGGGGCCCAGGCTCCAAATCAACACATCTTCAAGTCTTCCGGGGCGGGACTCGGCGCATGCCACCAGGGGCGCGTCGGGTCTTGTCGCGCGACTCCTCCGGGCCCAAGAGGGCCCAAGACGGGCCAAGAGGGCCGCAGGAGCCCGCCCAGTCGGTCCAAGAGGGCCCAACATCGCCAAACGATCGGTCCAAGACGCCTAAGATGACCCCAAGACGGCCCAAGAAGCCTCCGGGACGCCCGAAGAGAGCCCCAAGAGGTACCCAAAGAGTGCCCCGAGAGGCCAACGTCCATGGATTCCCCATGTGTTTTTCAATGCTCTTTTGGAGTTCTCGCCTTTCATAGCTTCCGACACTCCAAGACGGCTCACGAAGCTTCCAAGACGGCCCCAAGACGGCCCACGAGGCCCCCAAGACCGCCCCAGGACGGCCCAAGAGGGCCCAAAGACGGCCCAAGAGGCGCCCAAGACGGCCCAAGAGAGCGACCCCAAGAGGAGCCCAAGAGAGGGAACACAAACCGAAAATCCCAGCCTTCCGCCACCAGAGGCGCCTAGGAGGCCAAAGAGGGCCCCGAGAGGCCCCCAAGAGGACCCAAGGGGCCCCAAAATAGCCCCCCAGAGGCATCAAAACTGCCTCCAGGAGGCCCCCGAGAGGCCTCCACGAGATCATAACGATCATCCAAGAGGCCTCAGACACACAACCCAGGCACGGTGGCGGGATGGGGCGAAGGCCATTAGATTATGTAGACAGATGTGCCGCTGTCAATTGCCAAGCCGCAAAAACGAAGTGTGGCGCAGGAGTGCGGTGTCCCGATCGACCTTGTGCCGCCTCGTATTTGCCTGGCAGAAGATCGCGAGAGAACGGATATGGGAACTTATGATGTCGAGCTTCTGGTTCCACCAAGTCCTGAGCCTGTGGCAAGACGGGGAGGACGGGAATTACGGGGTTACGGGTATAGCGACTGTGTCGATTACGATTGAAAGAAGTAGAGAAAACGCTGTAAGACAAAATGTTGCCAGTTGCGGCTCTCGACAACACTGAGCAACTCATCGTGGTTGCTTCGGAGCTCGCTTGGCCTGTTCGGTCTTGCTGTAGACCTTCGGCCAGACGCCCCTGCTGATACGATCAAGGTACTCCTTTCGAGTACGGGTCAAACCAAGCTTGGGGTCACAAACTTTGCCCAGGGAAACTAATTGCTCAGCAAGCTCCACAAGACGAACAAAACCAGAGACCCAGCCCCAGGTGAAACTTCAAAACGTGGCTTTCGTGAGCGTACCCCCCCCCCGAGATATGCACCCTGCGCCCAGGAGGAGGCTGACGAAATTCACTGTTCATATTGGGTTTACTCTTGACCTCTCCGCCTCTCCCCCTCCTCCTCCTCCTTCTCCTCCTCCTCCTCCTCCTCCTCCTCCTCCTCCTCCTCCTCCTCCTCGAGGTAGAGGAGGGAGGGGAGGCCAGTCACGTGGAGGAAGGAGCAGCTTTCTGTAATAGCGGTCCCACTTGCAACGCAGGTGAGGTGACCAAGAAGCGTTCCGTGTTTCTCTCCCTGTGGCCAATTTTTTAGGGTGACGCATTTCTTTGACATGTGATGACCAGCGCACTCTTTGGCCACGGGGATCGAAGGCAATTCATCGGTCCCCAGGGGGCGCCCCTAGGCTGCGTGCCATATCGGGGGTTGCCCCTAATGGGGCAGTGCGGTTCCGCCCGACCGCAGGGGCCGTGGATAGGAAGGCGGCCCGAAGGGTACGCCACTCAGAGTTCTTCGCGAGGCCAGGTTTCAATCCAGTTGAGCCGCGAGTAACCTCGCAACCCACCGAACTCCAGGAGTCCAGTCTCAGTCCAGTCCAGTCCTCCTCCTCCTCCTCCTCCTCCTCCTCCTCCTCCTCCTCCTCCTCCTCCTCCTCCTCCTCCTCCTCGTCATCCTCCAATCCTCATCCTCCTCCTCCTCCTTCTCCTCCCCCTCTCCTCCTCCTCCTCCTCCTCCTAATCCTACTCCTCCTTCTCCTTCTCCCCCTCCTCCTCCTCCTCCTCCTCCCCCTCCTCCTCCTCCTCCTCCTCCTCCTCCTCCTCCTCCTCCTCCTCCTCCTCCTCCTCCTCCTCCTCCTCCTCCTCCTCCCCCTCCACCTCCCCCTCCACCTCCCCCTCCACCTCCTCCTCCTCCTCCTCCTCCTCCTCCTTCCATCCCCCTACTTCTCCTCCCCCTCATCCTCATCCTCCTCTCCCTTTCCCCCGCTCCTTCCTCATGCCATCCGCTTCGCCCCCTACACCCTCTGTGCTTCGCCGAGCCGAGGCCACCTCATTCCTCCCCGCCCCTCCTCCTCCTCCCCCCTCATTGCCCCCCCCTCCTCCCTCCACCCTCCTTCCTCCTGCACGCCCTCCAACTCCTCCCCCTCCTCCGCCTCCTCCTCCTCCTCTTTCCCCACAACGTCGGCATGACGCTTTCACAACGTCGATCCCGAGAGATCTCCACCGGTTCCATGGCCCTAGCTGCTTATCCCAAAACGTTGTCTGGCGGTCCCGGGGCCCGACGAGGGCCCCCCGAGGCCACAAGTGGCAGAACAAGCATACGCCGTGTTATGCTCCGAACTCGGTCGCGCGGTACACGCACGTTTGCGCCTCGCCGGCGAACGCGAGAAGGTCCGGGCCTCTCCTCCCTCCTCCCTCCTGCTCCTCCTCGTTCCCCTTGCCCCCAGCCTCCCCTCCTGGCTCGCTGCGCCGCGACCGGAGGGTGGACTCGGGAAGGAGCCGTTTTGCCTCAAGGTCCAGGGCAGCACTTCCAGCGAACCACACGAAGAGCGAGCGAGCTAAGGGCGAAGTCCCGTGACCCCGCGGAAGCCCTTTTCCGAGTGCGCAGACCCCTAGGAAAGGGCGCCTCCCCTAGCCCCAAGCCTCCCCTCCTCCTCCTTCCCCCTCTTCATACCTCATCCTCCTCATTCCTAAACCTCCCCTCCTCCCCCTCCTCTTTCCCCGCGCCGGCGCCGTCTGGGAATCAGCCGTCTGGGAGTTAGCCATCCTCCTCCTCCCTCCTCCCTCCCCATCCCCGTCCCCTTTCACTTGTGGTGAGGGCAGAGACAGCTCGCCACTGACCCCCCCCATCACAAGCGCGCGGAGCGCGCCAGGGGCTGCGCCCAGGGCGTCGCCATGGGCCCCAAGCGCAGATCCAAGAAATCCGCGCGAAGCTCCGAAAGTTATCTTGCTATTTCTCCGTATGGAGGCCCAGTGATCAAAATTGCCAGCATCCCAACTAATTGGAAGGGGGCCCCAACATGCTACCACAAGGACGAGGAGGGGGAATGGAAGAGGAGGGGGAAGTTCCGAAAATTATGTGAATGCAATTGTTTTTGCTTCGATCGTCCCCCTCCCCCGTCGGAGTATAGCGCATCGCACATACATCCAGACATGCGTTGTCAAGTTGCTTGTTTTCAAGACGGGGTTCCTGGAAGTTCAGACCCATTCCCGGGCACTGGCGTATCATCCTGGGTCGTCGCCTTTTGCCGAAAATTACCAAAAACCTCCCATCGCGAATTTTGTTGCGACGCGGCCACGTCTGGGCGAAGTCTTCTCCCCCTCCTCCCCCTGCTCCCTCCCTCCTCCCTTCCCTGCCCCTTCCTCCATGCCCTCCCCCCTCCTTCCTCCTCTCTACAATAACACGATATGAATACTACTCTCCTCTCCCCTGATGACGTCCAGGGAATATATGGCCCCCGTCCGCGTATTGTTTTTGGTACACAAAGGATTCCCGGTGACTGGGTTTTCGCTTGGGTTTCTTGTCCAACTACTGCTCCCGCTGAAGAGCTGGCCTCATTTTCGGGCTTCCGCTTGTTCCGAATCGTGCTCCCGCTGCAGCTCGTTCCGAATCGTGCTCCCGCTGCAGCGCTGGCGTCTTTATTTCCAGCTCCATGCCACGGCATTATTTTCGGTCCTTCCAAATAGGCCCCAAAATGTAGAAGATGGCCCACCGAAAAACCATCGGAAGTGAGTACACATTCGGTGCCGATTCGTTGATTTTTTGGGCCGCAGAAGCCTCCCACTTTGAGGCGTCGCCACACCATGCTATGTCATGCTACGCGTTGATCTTCAACACCATGCTATGCCATGCGATGTTATGCCACGCTACGACATCTGACTGTGCGAATAGAGAGGAGATCTACGCCATGGTAAGGGATGGGAGGGAGGGGTAAAACGTCACAATAACACGAGCGCACCTAGCTTGCCCCTCCACCATCCTCTACCCCCCTTCCTCCCCCTCCTCCCTCCCCTCCCCCCTCCATAATTAAACAATATGAATACTGCTCTCCTCTCTCCCCTGGTGGCGTCCGGGGGTTGTTCGGCCCCCCTCCGCGTACTGGTTGTTTACACACAAGATTCCCAGGAATTGGGATTTCCCTGGGGTTTTGTTCAAAATGCGGCTCTCGCTGAAGCGTTGGCCTCATTTTCGGACTACCGCTCGTTCCGAATCGTGCTCCCGCTGCAACGCTGGCGTCATTATTTCTAGCGCCATGCCACGGCACTCTTTTCGGTCCTTCCAAATAGCCCCAAACTTAAAATTATCTCAGTGCGACCCTACCTAGGAGTTGGAGCCCCTAGGAAAGCAGCATTAGTAGGAACAGTAAAGCTAAGCTAAAGCTAAGAAAAAGCTAAGCTAAAGCTAAGCTAAAGCTAAGCTAAAGCTAAGCTAAAGCTAAGCTAAGGCTAAGCTAAGGCTAAGCTGAAGCTAAGCTAAAGCTAAGCTAAAGCTAAGCTAATGCTAAGCTAAAGCTAAGCTAAAGCTAAGCTAACACTAAGCTAACGCTAAGCTATAGCTAATTTAAAGCTAAGCTAGAGCTAAGCTAAAGCTAAGCTAAAGCTAAGCTGAAGCTAAGCTGAAACCCAGCTAAAGCTAAGCTGAAGCTAAGCTAGAGCTAAGCTAAAGCTAAGCTGAAGCTAAGCTGACGCTAATCAGAACTAAGCTAAACCTAAGCTGAAGCTAAGCTGAAGCTAAGCTAAAGCTAAGCTAAGGCTAAGCTACAGCTGAGCTACAGCTAAGCTAGAGCTAAGCTAGAGCTAAGCTGAAGCTAAGCTAACGCTAAGCTAGAGCTAAGCTGAAACTAAGCTAAAGCTAAGCTGAAACTAAGCTAGAGCTAAGCTAAAGCTAAGCTAGAGCTAAGCTGAAGCTAAGCTGAAGCTAAGCTAGAGCTAAGCAAAGCTAAGCTAGAGCTAAGCTGAAGCTAAGCTGAAGCTAAGCTAAAGCTAAGTTAAAGCTAAGCTGAAGCCAAGCTAAAGCTAAGCTAAAGCTAAGCTAAAGCTAAGCTAAAACTAAGCTAAAGCTAAGCTCAAGCTAAGCTAAAGCTAAGCTGAAGCTAAGCTAAGCTGGGTGAACCCAGGGGGCGCAACTGGGGGAACCGCGGGGCGGGGACTGGGGGAACCGCCCGGGGCGGTTTCCATTGCCCGGCCCTTTAAGCAAAGAGAGTAAGAACCCTTCTAGGCAGAGCCTAGGTAGGGAAAAATGGCCCCCCGAACAAAATCATCGGAAGTGAGTATACACAATCGGTGCCGATTCGTTGTTTTTTTGGGCCGCCGAAGACCCCCCACTTTGGCGCGTCGCCACGCCATGCTGTGTCGGGCTACGCGTCCTCATTTCCGCGATTCCGCGCTTGGTTCGTTTGTCAAAATGCGGCTCTCGCTGAAACGCTGGCCTCATTGTCGGACTACCGCTCGTTTCGGATCATGCTCCCGCTGCAGCGCTGGCCTCGTTTCCGCGCTTCCGCTCGTTCCGAATCGTGTTCCCGCTGCAGCGCTGGCGTCATTATTTCGAGCGCCATGCCACGGTATGGTTTTAGGTCCTTTCAGATAGGCCCCAAAATCTAAAAAATGGCCCCCCGAAGAAACCATCGGAAGTGAGTACACATTCGGTGTCGATTCGTTGATTTTGTTTGGTGCCGCAGAAGCACCCCCCCTCCCCCCCACTTTGAGGCGTCGCCACGCCATGCTATGTCATGCTACGCGTTGATATTCAACACCATGCTATGCCATGTAATACTATTCCATGCTACGACATCCGACCGTGCGAATGGAGAGGAGATCTACGCCATGGTAAGGGATGGGAGGGTGGAGCAGGAGGTCAGATATGACGCGAGCGCATCTAGCTTGCCCTTCTCCCCCCCCTCCCCTCCCTCCCCGCCCCCCAGACCCCCGACGTCACGATTTTTTCGCAACGTCGACCCCCAAGAATCTGGGCCCGTTCCCCGGGACCGGTTTTCCATCCTGAGTCGTCGTTTGACGGCCCCGAGGCCCAGAAGGGCCCGGGAGGCCGAAAACAAGGAACAACCTCCCGTCGTGACTTTTTTCACGACGCGAAGAGGTCTGGGTAAAACAGGGCTAGGATCGGGGTAAATCGCTCCAGAGCGTTCTGGAGCGCTCTCAGAGCGTTCCGGAACGCTCTGGAGCAGCCGCGGCGCCCAATACATCCTCCAAACCCGCCGATTCTCAGATATTTCGAGTTATCCCGATCCGATTCTGTCCCGATCTTCGCGTCGTTTTACTGGGCCCCGCCCCCGCGGCGCCAGCGCCGACCAGCGGCCCCGCGCCGCGCGGCGCGCCGCCCTCGCGCGGCGCCCACTCAGCCGCGGCGGGGGCCCCAGGCCGCGCGGGCCGGGCCGCGCGAGCCCCGCCGCTCTCGGCCTGGCGGCGGGCCGCGCCCGTCGTCGTCGTCGTCGTCGTCGTCGCCGCCGCCGTCGTCGTCGTCGTCGCCGTCGTCGTCGTCGGCGTCGGCGTCGGCGTCGCCGTCGTCGTCGGCGTCGCCGTCGCCGTCGTCGTCGTCGTCGTCGTCGTCGTCGTCGTCGTCGTCGTCGTCGTCCCTGCCCTCGTCGCCGTCGTCGCCGTCGCCGTCGCCGTCGCCGTCGCCCCCTCGCCCCACCCCCCCGTGAGGGGCAACGATAAGGGGGGGGGCCAGCTCAGGGGGGGAGACATCGGCCTGGAGTCGCAGATGCATCGCCCATGGATCGGCGATGGGCCCCTGATTGCTCTCCAGGGGGGTGGGCTGTCAGGCCCCTGTCAGCGAGGAGTGGGCGACCTGCAGGTCGGCGCGCCTCCCCGGCGTCGGCCTCTGGGGGCCCCTCGCCCAAGGAGGAGGAGGAGGAGGAGGAGGGAAGGGGAGGGGGAGGAGGAGGGATAGGCGGATGTGGAAAAGGAGGAGGAGGAGGAAGAGGAGGAGGAGGAGGAGGAGGAGGAGGAGGAGGAGAAGGAGACCATCGAAGGGCGACTCGGGATGAAAGGCCTGTCCCGGGGAGTGGGCCGGGACTTCCGGGGGCCCCGGCTTGAAAAAGTCAGGACAGCGCGCGTCTGGGCCCGCCTCCTCTGGCGGCGAGATCACAGCGGAAGGTGTCTCAAACAAAGTTTCGGCATCGGGGGGGGGGGGCCCTCACGGGGCCCTCGGGCCGTCAACAGAACGGCCCAGGATGCAAGACCAGCCCCGGGAAGGGGTCGAGACCTCGGGGGGGTCGACGTTGCAACAAAAAGCAACAGCAACAGCAGCAGCAGCAACAATAACAAACAAAAACACGACGTCATATCTTACGGTCGCTGACAGGAAGCCGCCAAAACACACGCGCTGGGCCCGAGGCCCGCGCTGGGCCCGAGGCACCGGGCCCGAGGCGCCCGGAGCGCACCAGAGGCGGCGCCGGAGGCGCCCAGCGCAGGTCAAAGAAACCGGGCGCGGGGACCGGGGACTGGGACCAGATCGTTGGGCATTTTAAACGAAACGAGAGAGGAGGAAGAGGAGGAGGAGGAGGAGGAGGAGGAGGAAGAGGACGAGGAGAAGTATGAGGAGGAGGAGGGGGAGGAAGAGGAGGACTCTTTGGACTCTTTGATAACGGACGCTGTCCTGGGAACGATCTCTACACGCTGGAAATATCCCCAGCCCCTCTCGGGCTGGGGCTCCTGGCCCTGGCTTGGCCAGGCGGGGGCCGCGCGGCGCACCCCGCTCCCCCCCCGAGCCTCCCGAGGCTCAGCAGCCTGGCCAGGAGGGCCCGGTCCTGGGTTTTTCTAAGGCGGCCGATCGAGGTCCGCCCTCGCCACACACGCTGCCAGATCTCGGGCCCTGACGGCCTCGCGAATTGCCGTCGGGGGGCCCTCCCTGCGCGGGAACAGGAGGAGGAGGAGGAGGAGGGGGGAGGAGGAGGAGGAGGAGGAGGAGGAGGAGGAGGAGGAGGAGGAGGAGGAGGAGGAGGAGGAGGAGGAGGAGGAGGAGGAAGAGGAGGAGGAGGAGAGGAGGAGGGAGGAGGAGGAGGAGGAGGAGGAGGAGGAGTACGAGGAGGAGGAGGAGGTTGAGGTTGAGGGGGAGGGGGAGGAGGAGGAGGAGGAGGAGGAGCTCGGCAACGGCTAGAAAGGTGCCACCACATTAAACATGCATCAAGCAAACTCCAAACGAGTTAGGGGGGTCAAAATCCTCCCCCGGCGGCACAACCTGCTGGCGCGCTCTTGCGCTCGAAGCCCGAGCGACTCCGCCTCTTCCCGAGAGCGGAAACCAAAAAGTGACAGGCCCCGCAGAAGGTCGACCCCAGTCCCCGCCCAAGCACACCCACCCCCGCCCGACATGGACGCAAGAGGGTCTCTGGACAGAGGCGGCGCTAGCTGCGGGAGGTCGTCCAGACCCATCTTGGCTGCCAAGTAGTCTCGAGAGGCATCCGATAACACGGCCGCTCGCGAGACCCGAAACCCTTGCTTCGAAGGATGGCGGCCGCGCAAAATCCAATCCAACTGCCTCTCACGACCCGAGGAACGGTGGCCCAGACAATCTGACGCTAGAGCCGTTTTTCCCCCGTGCCCTCCTACGGCACAAACCGAGCCGCAGCGAGTACAGAAGGCCAGGGAGCCGGCCGCAGCCCCCGCGGGGTCAGTGACCCCACACTCGATGATGTGGTGGGCGCGGGCTGGCCAGACATGGAGGTCGGGCCATTCGGCCCTGCCCTCCTTACCTTCCTCGCCCACCCTCCCCGACTCCCGACCCGTCCCGCCACTCCCAGGAGGAGGAGGAGGCTCAGGAGGAGGAGGAGGAGGTGGAGGAACCACGTCAGGGAGAGGAGGGACCTCAAGGGTGATGTGCCTAAGCCAATCGATGCCGACATGGTCGAACTGCTGACTGTCTCCAATCCGAGCCTCTTGCTCAACCGAGAATTTACAAAGAAGACGGGCCAACTCGAAGCAACCATCGACGACGGCACGATCGGCGGCAGCGATTCTACCCAAAGAGGCACCCTTCTTCGCATATTCGTCCGCAGCCTTGTTGCCGAGATACTCAAGTCGACTGAGCTCCCCATTCTCGACATCACGAAGGGTGCTATGGGCTGGCACTTTATGCCACCGCACACCGTCAAGCTTATCATACACATGCTGCCACATATGCGATCGAGCATTATCGGGACACACAGCTCCCACTGGGTCCGAAACATACCCAAGGGTCCCCGCACAGTCCCCATACAAGTTGGCCCCGGGGAAAACTGTAGCATGGCGGACAAGGGAGACCACAGCGTAGTCCTCACCGTCGCGAGCGACCTGGGCTTGAGCAACGCTTAAGGGCACACGCCCCCATATCGCACGGACAACTTTCCCCCACCCGTCCCTCACAATCACCGCCCATCCCGCCGATCGAATCCTAGGGAGAGCAGGCTCGTAGCACGAGCCGTCTATGAACACATGCGCCCCCTCTCCAAGCACCAGACCTTCGGCGGGCCAATTGTGCCTGTAGACCGTGGCCTCGGGGTGCTCAGAGGGGCGAGTGAACCAACAAGTGGGGTCAGGGAGCACGCACCTGGCAAACAGCTCTTGGGCTCTGGGTGAGAGGAGGCGCACGCGATTCGCCGCCCGACGCAAGTCCGGGCTCAACACATCGCGCCGCCACGCCTCGTGGGCAGGGCAATCGAAGCGACGATGAAACATGGTGCCCGAGGGAGCCTGGCAGACCAAACAAGCAGGAGAGATGTCCTGACAGGCGTCGTGACATCGCTGCTGGCACCAATACATATTGGCAATCAGGCTGCGCAAGCAGTGACGACAATGATCAGACCAGACTGAGCTTTGCTTCGAAATCAAATCGAGAGCCGGCTTGAGACAGATGGGGCCGCGCCACTCGGCGCCAAAATCACTCTGCCGAACCTGCTCTTCCATCACAATAGCTTCCTCGCACGCTTCGCGCACGCGAAGGGCGAAGAAGGCGGGGGAAAACTCAGACAAACTCCAGGAGCGACCCGCCTGGTCAACCAAAACCTCATTTGGGACATCCAACCTCCAACGGATCCGAGCGAGCGTCAGAACAAGGGCAGCCAGAGGCTGCTTGGCGGAGCCCCAGGGCCTGGGTTTGCTCGCAGACAGGAGCGCGTCTTCAAACGCCGAGAGGAGCACCTGCTTCGTGACGCCGCGGTGCCACCAAACTGACACAAACGCCTTGACGGCGTCCACCGTCGTTGAAACGAGAGGGTCACGCTGGGGGGCCCCGCAAAGGAGGAAGGTGAGGCCAAGGGAGGAGCCAGGCTGAAGGGGGCCGAAGGACCTGGGAGCGGCCACCCTCAGAGTCCGCAGAGCCGAATTCCCAAGACCATTAATGTGTGCACCCCACGTGGCCTTAGCGACTGGACCCGCCCTGTGGACCCGAGAAGCCCCCCTACCCCGCCCGATTTTGGTGTGCCGAGTCGCTGCAGCCGACGCGGCAGACAGGCGAGCGCGCCGCGTGGGCACCCGACGGCCCTTGCCGTCGGAGGCGCCCCCACCGAGATCACGGCGGGTGGAAGCGAAAAAAGACTCATCGAACGGCCAGCGACTGTCCGCCAACAGCGCGCCCGCGAGCTCCGACGTCGAACAGAGGACGCACGTCTTCACCAAGTTCAATGGCAGGTCGAGCATCTCCATCTCCTTGATCACCATGTTGGCTGCCGCGACCAGCTGGCTGCACACCGTGCGGAGCGTGCCGATCGCGTGGACCTTCAGGTCGTCGACGAGATTCAGCGGCCGGACAACGGGCGTCTCCACCACGATCTGCCGGAGAACGCTCAGCGCCAGGCTTCACCACGCCAGTCGCGCAGCTGCAGCCCGCGATCACCGTGCCGTTGGGCAGCGCCGCCCGTGACGTGGCGCCGAGCCACCTGGCCCGCCTCGGGCCGCGGTAGATCGCGCATAGGCACCTCAGCAGCTGCAGGTCGAAGCCGAAGTGCCGCGCCGCCACAACCAACATGCAGTGGGAGACATTCTCGAAGAACTTGCTGACGTCGAAATACAGCGTCCCAGAAACGAATCCGTGGCGCTTGGCGTGCACTACGAGCAAGTTGTGGATGTAGGCTGCGCGGTCCGCCGCCGTGTCCCCGCTCTTGCCCCAAAAGAAATCGGCGTCGACCGAGCGCTCCCAGGCGCGGACCAGGCCCTGGCGAATCTTCGACCACACCCGAGGCCAGAGCCCCATCAGGCAAATGGGCCGCCTGCCCACGTCGGGAGGCGGCTTTGGGATAAATGCCATCATCGTCGTCCACAGGTCGGGCACCTCGGCCGAGTCCTCGAACTGGTTCAAGATGGCCGTGAAGCTCTCGACCAGGGGGTCTGAGAGCTCGTTGAGCAAGCGCGGGTGGAAGTTGTCCCAGCCGAGGCCCTTCCTGCGCCCGAAGGAGAGGGAGGCCGTCCGCACCTGGTCCACGCTGATGGCCCCGAGCGTGCGCGGCACCTGCCAGCTGGCCGCGGGGGCCCCCCTCGCCCTCGACGGTTTGTCCCACAAGGGCATCCACTCCAGCACGATGGCCTCCACGGCCAGCGCTCCCACCTGGGGAAGCCCGGGCGCGCCGCCAGGCAAGGATACCGGCCGCGGCTCCACGGGCTTCGGCTTGATCAGCTTGCGAGCCACACGGCCTGACCCAGCCAGCGACGCGCTGCGAAAGTCGCGCCACAGCCGCGCCCGGGCAGCAGCATCAGCTCTGCGCCGCCGCGCGAGCTCGTCCTCCAGGAGGCCTTCGAACCACGGCGCGAGCGGGCTGTTCCGCTCGGCGAGGGCCAGCCACGCGTCTGGCGTGGCGGTGACAAGCGCAACGTGCTCCGAGACCGCCGGCGGCAGAGTGATGGCGCGACCCTGCAGCATCAAGCCCTCCTTCACGAAGGACCGCTTGGCCTTCGAGCCGCGCGGGGCCCTGCCCCAACGGAGGAGCGCCCGCCAGATTCGCAGGAAGCTCCACCAAGCCTCTGTGTCAGAGGAGTCGTGGCGTCGTTGCCGGCGCTCTTGGACGTCGAGCAGCGGCCTCTCCACCGGGCGGATCCCGCGCCCACGGCCCCGATGAAGATGGGCCTTGGAGGCCTCCACCTGCCGGGAGCGGATGAGCGACCGCTCGGCCAGGTCGAACCAGCCCGCGCACGTCACCTGGAGGTCCGACAGCGGGGCTTGCAGCTCCGCCAGCTCACACTGCGTCTCCTGCTCCGTGGCAGGCCGTGGCCCAGCAGCCTCGCCAGCGTCCGTCGCGGGGCTCACCTCCGGCTCCTTGGCCACCGAGAGTGGCCGCCTGGGGTCCTCGACCCAGACCTTCGGCTTGCTCCAAGCACGGTCGAGGGAGCAGCTGACCTGGTCGTGAGACCCCGCCGGCATTCCAGCAAACGCCCGCGCAGCCGACGCGCAGGAAGGCAGGGACCTCGATACCACGAAGTAGTCGTAGTCGTTGTCACCGCAAGTCGGGGCGCCACTGCTGATGAGGAGGCCATCGATCTCGTCGAGCCAGCCGCTGGAGGCGAGGTCGTCCGCGTCGACGTTCCAGTCCCCTGCCAGGAGGAATGGGACGTGGTGCTGCCCCACAAGCGCAGCGACCTCCGCCAGGAGCGTGACGTTGTCGCCCGTCAGCCCGATCGACGTGATCAGGTACACCGAGAGGCACAGGAAGACCGAGCCCTTGCAGAGGTGGATCTTCCTCGCCACGATGCGGCGCGCCCGCTCCGAGGGAACGTCGATGCCCGCGCGCGCGCCGACGTGGGCCGCGAAGCACAAGCCGACGCCCCCGCTGACCGCCAGGCGCTCCGTCCCGACCCGAAGCGGCGGACCCAGGGCCAGATGGCAGCCTTGGCCAAGGCACCACTGCCGAGCCGCCCCGGCTGCCTCGTCGTCGGGAAACCTGGTCTCCTGGATGAAGACGACGTCGAACTGTCGCTTGGCCGCGGCGTTCCACTCGAGCACCCTCCGAGCGCCGCTCCACGCGTCCCCGTTAATGGTGAGTAGCGTCAGCGAGTCGCCTCGCACCGCCGGCGGCTGGGGGAGGAGCTGCGCCAGCTCCAGCGGCGCCGCGCGCGGAGCTCCGCGAGCAGCGCCATGACCACCACTCGCTGGCCCTTCCCCTGCGACTGCCCTGGCGGGCGCCTCAGTACGCCCAGGCCCAGGCCCAGCGCCCGGCAGGGCGCCAGCACTCGGTGACCTTAGGGGCCCCTCGGCAGCGCCGAGAAGGTCACCGGCCGCGGCGCCGTCTCCAGGGGCGCCCGCACAGGGCGCGGCGGGGCGCCCGACAGCCGCGGGCCTGGCGGCCGCGGCAGCGCCGGCGGCGGCTTCGGCGGCGCCCCCGGCGGGCTCGCGCGGCGCTGGTAGCGACCTCGGCGGGCTGACAAAGGCAGCGCGGCGCCTCGCGCGGCGGGCCATGCGTGCCTCATGCGCTTCCCCATCGGCAAGCACGACGCACGCGTCCTCATCGTCGCTGATCTCGATGGGAATGATCTGGTAGCCAGGAGGTGCTGGCAAGGGCCCGCCTCCGGACCAGAATCCTGCCGCCGCGGAGGCCGACAGCCCAAGGACGGCGTCGGAGGGTCCGCCGTCAGCAACTGCCTCGGCCGCCCGAGGCTGCATAGGCTGCCGGCCAGGGCCGGCCGCAGCGGCGAGGCCTGGAACGTCCAGCTCGGCCTCCGACTTGCCAGCCACACAGCCGACAACCAGGAAGTAGTGCATGACAGGCGGGGCGGCGGCCTGGGCCTGGGCCGTCGCCTCGCCTCTGCCCCCGTGGGGGCCAGTCGCCGCCGAGGCTACAGAGGTGACAGTCATCATCTTAAAAAGGGCGATCAGCATTCGCAGCAGGCCTCGGCAGGCTGGCCACGCGGAACATGTGCCTGGCCGTCTCACGCAGCTCCTCGCCCTCCAATGGGACGCTGGCCGCTGGCACCACCGTGGCCATGAGCGTGCGCAACTCGGCGTTGGACAAGCTCTCGATCGTGTCCTGCACCCGCGGCAAGTCTGGCAGGCCCGCTGGGGCTGCCGCTGGCTCCGCTGGCTGTCGCGGCGGCTCGGCAGAAGCAGCGGCACCAGCAGCGGGAGCCTCAGCAGCCGCCTGGGGCGGGGCCGCAACAGCCAGGCCCGCCTCCGCGCCCACGGGGACCAGCGTGGCGTTGGACACGATGTTGGGCAGGTCCTGAATGATGGCCTGGGCGACCGTGCTGGCTTGGTCTCCAAGTCCGCAGCGCTGGAGGACCTCGCCGAGCTTCGACGCGTCGAGGCCGACCGCCGCCATGGGCAGAGAGGCCTGTTCGCCAGCTGCTTGCTGGGCCAACTGACTCCTCTGCTTCGCGAGGTCCTTGATGTTCTGCTCTTGCTGCTGGATGGCGGTCTCAGCCTCCCCGATCTTCCTGAGGTCCTGAGGAGGGCCGCCAGTCCTTCTCGCTCCTTCCCAAGGCTCTCCTCGGCCTTAAGAAGCTGCCTCTCCGCCGCTTCGAGGCGAGCCGTTACCGTGCGCACTCTGGCGTGGATCGGCTTGGACTCCAGCAGCTTGACGCGGAGGCGCTCGCGCCCCTCCTCGAGCTCCTGCTTGCACGCCACCCATGCAGGCCCGCACTGCTTGGACACGGCGACGAGCTCCTTGTCCAGCTCCTGGAGGCGCTGCCGCGCGAGGTCATCCGAGGGCTCCCCGGACATCTCGACACCCACGAACTCAGGCGCCGCAGCACCCGGGCGCCCTGGCGGAGGGGCCTGGGCAGCTTCCAGGCGCTCGACCTTCTTGCGAAGCATCTCAAGCTCCTTGGCCCCCTTGCTCCAAGGATTGAGAGTGGACGTGCCGCCGCGCGGAGGCACGTGCACGGACGGCGCGCTCGGGGCGACCTCGGCCTTGAAGCAGATGCCTTTGGCCCGCCCGCACATCCCGCAGCTCGCCGCCGTCGCGACGTTCCACCAGTCATGGCAAGTGGTCTTGTGCTTGCAGAAGCGGCACAGCCACTTGGCCGCGCGCTCGGCGCGCTCGCCACGACGGCGCGAGGGCGCCATGCCGTTGGCGGCCTCGCCGTGGTGGGCTGCGAGCAGGCGCCGCGCCGCGTCCAGGCGAAGGAGGCGCCGCGCCTCGCTCCGCCTCCGCCGCGCGCGCCTATGCCAGGCGGGGGAGCTGGCACGCTCCCGAGGTGCAGTCGTTGGACCAGGGCCCTGGGCAGGGCGCCTGGCTGGGGCCAAATGGGACGCCGCGCGCGCGGGCGCACGGGGCCCAAATGGCAACCTAGAGGAGGAGGAGGAGGAGGAGGAGGAGGAGGAGGAGGAGGAGGAGGAGGAGGAGGAGGAGGAGGAGGAGGAGCCCGGCGCACCAGCAGGGTTCGTCAGCCACCACATGAAAAGAGACGAGGCGGCGGCTTCAGGACACATGAGCGGCGGCGAGGACAGCGCGGGGAAGAGGAGAGGAGGCTAGACAGCAGAGGGCAGCAGCAGGGAGGACTCGAAGGACGGGGCGGAGGCGGAAACAACAAGAGCGGCTGGCCGACATCAAAGAGAGCGCGGGCGCCTGACCGTAGAAGTTTAGCGCGCGGATAACCGTAGTTTCAATCAAAAAGGCACAAGAATGCGGACGAGAAATGGACGAGGGCGGCGAGGGATGGATGCGGATGGCGGGAAAAGGGGCGGGGCAGAAGCCGCGAAGATGAGTCGACTCTCGCAGCAGCCGGCTCTCGCTCGGCCAAGTCCCCGAGTGCGAAGACACCCCCGAACCATAAACCGCAAGGGGCCTGACTGCAGAAGTCGCCGGGTGGGAGGTGGGACGGGGGCGGGGGGACAAGGCCAATGGCGGCGTGAGCAGAGTAAGCACCAGAAGCGGCGCCAGACGGAGCGGCGAGGGGGGCGCAGAGAGGGGCGGTCGAGAAGATCGACGGGCGGGCACTGCAAGGCGGGGAACGGCTGGTGGGGAGCGAGCAGGGGCTAGAGCCACGAAAATGAATGTTCCGCACCTCTCGCAGCAGCCGGCTCTCGCCAGGACGAGTCCCCGAGGGCGTACACACCCCAGTTCCAGCAACCACGGGGGGCCTGACTGCAGCGGGCGCCAGGTGGAACGGGGGCGGGGGGACATGGAGAGAGAGGCGCAGAAGGGGGGCAGCCGAGAAGATCGACAAGCCCGAACTGAACGGAGAGCGGGGAGGGATGGACGGGGTGCACAGCGCAGGCTCACTCGGGCCCGCATCCACTCCCCCTGGCGCCGAGGTAATCGATCTTGACAACGTCACTGCAGCACAAATAGAAATCGAAGTTGCCCGCGTCACCGCAGAATTCGCGGCCATCAATGCTGAAGGCGCCACCGAACGACCCGCCGAAGACCGAGAAGATGGCGCCAGGGTCTGAGTGAGCTACCCTGGTTCAGAATTCCCTCCGACATGAGGCGACGGCGAGCCCGAACACGACAACGGGATTGGCGATCTAACGCCGCCAGAGGAAGGTTCCTCCCCGAGGCATCCGATGCGTGGCGACGTGTATCTCGAACACGACAACGGGAGTTGCGAACTAACGCCATGGCCAAGATGGCCCGCGTCGCGGCATCCAGCACGCGGCGACAGCGAGCCCGAGCACGACAACGGGACTTGCGCGCCAACGCCTGTTGGGGGTGGCGATGAGGCGGCCTGCGGCGACGACGCGCCCGAACACGACAACGGGACTTGCGCTCTAACGCCGCGGTCGTGGACCGAAAGAGGAGGGGGGGCGCGCCCAGCAGGTGGCGACGCTGAGCCCGCGCGCCCAGGCGGGAGCTGCGTCCTTACGCAGACTGCAAGAGACGATGACGGCGCAAGGGGCGCGCAGGAACCACCGGACGCCGACGAAGAGGCCGTAGATATCGACGAGGACGTGGAAGATGAGCTGCGCGAGCTGGTCGTTGATCTCCCCGCCACAGGCGCACTGGCGGAGCATGAAGTCGATGATGAGGAGGCCGAAGACGGACGCCGAGGCCCGAGAGGCAGCGGAGCAAGAAAGGCGAGCTCCTCCTCGGAGAGCCGCCGCGGAGTGGCGAGCCGCATCGATCGCACTCCTGCAAGCGCAGCAGAGTGGCCACTCAGCAGAGCGCCGCGCCACGTTGCACATCGAGTGGGCAGCGGTCATCCAAGAAAAAGCAAGCAAGGTAAGATGCCGTTGTCCGCACTTCACCATCGGGTCACGCGGCAGCTGCCGTCCGAGCGCCGTCTCGAGCGCAACGTGGAGTCGAGGGCAACAGAGATGACGTGCAAGCGCGTCACGATACGCCAGGGCGCAGACATCGCGAGGAGGTGAGCCAGCCGTCGCAACATGCATGGATCGCCGCCCATGCCCAGGAACAAGGGCAGCGCTTGAGGAGCAGGGGAACGTCGCCCCACTCGATCGCGTCGATCAGCTCCGGCCTCGCAACAGCAAACTTGAAGAGACGCCGTCGAAGATGATCACGGAGAGGTGCCACGTTGCCAGCATGCACACGCATCGCCCGATGCGCCGCCCGTTGCGGACGAGGACGCACCACAAGAGACTGGGCCAGGGCGTCGCCCACGGCGAGCAAGCCCACCCACGGCAGGGCGACCGCAGGCGAGCAAGCCCACCCACGGCCCAGGCGGCGGGCACACGCCAGCAGCTGCATGCAAGTTCTCCACGAGCGCCGGGGAGCGCCAGCGGGTTGGGTAGCACCGCCCAGAGCTGAGAATCAGGAGCGACTGGTCCACGACATGCACCTCCGCGCGCGACCGCAGGCTGGACAGGATCTCGCTGCACTGGGGGAAAGTGACCAGCGCCGCGAGCAGCAACGAGGCCGCCTTGAGATGAGGCCACCGCACAACACGAGGCCCGCCCCAAACCTCGATATGGGACCACGCGTCGGCCGTGAAGGTGCCGAGCGTCACGCGGAAAACCTGCGCAAGGACGCCCGTCTCCAGGCTAAGAGCACCCCTAGGGAGCCAGCAGAATTGAACAATGCACGAGAGTGTCGTGGCAATTCTTGAATTCGAAGTGCTCGCAGATATAGAGGAAGGGGTGGGGCCTACACTCAGTGCGCGGGCCCGAAGACGGAGTTTGGTGATCGGGTCTCTCCAGAGCCTTTCGGGAACAACAGCGGGACCAAGCCAGACACCGAAGTATAAGAGGGATTCAGCGATCTCGAACGAGGCCCTACCAGGGACGGTGCCCAAAATACAATCCCGCAGGAGACTCTCCAGGTTGTCACTAAAGGCTTCAGATAACGGTACCAGTTTGCATTTCTGCGTCTTAAGAGCTAGGTTCGCAAAGCGGTCAGCCATCGCCATCACATCATGAATATCCTCAAGCTACTGGGCACCACGAAGCGCCCCACCGATATTATCAGCACACGCACGAATGACCCCTGGCCCGCGATCGTCGACCCGAGAGGCCAGGTCGACGAGGATGGGCGAGGAGGCGAGCGCGTTGAGCGAGCCCGACAGTGCACACCCTTGGAGAATCCCACTTCGGACCCAGTAGAGATGCGAGCCTTGTCCCGCCACCGCCGCAATACCCTCGATAGCTGAGTGGAGGAACGAGACGAAGACCAGGAAGGCGGGCGGCAGCTGGAGCGAGGAGAGGACGAGCATGAGGTAGCCCTGGTTCAGGGAGGGGAAGGCTTGGCCGAAGTCCAAGGAGAAAAGGACCGGAATGTCCTGGGACTCGAAGGGGAAAAAGGAAAATGTCCTGCTGGCGGCGTCCAGCTCCAACACGCCCAGGCCAAAGTTCCTCGCGGGAAAAAGTCCCGCTGGCAGGGAAGGCCAAAGCGATCAAGAACAGGTCGTATAGATAGGCTCACAGTGGCAGAAAGTATCTTGACATCGCAGTTCCGAAGCCCAAGAGCACGAACCTTCTCAGGGGAACGCGTACACGAGCCACTCTGCAGCTCGTCGGCATCAATATTGGTTCGGGGGGAACGCTTGCACGGTCGCACTCGCAGCATCAAATGGAGACTGCCCCGAAGAGACCCACTCGAGACAGGACCAGAGGACCTCGAGGCCAGAGGCGTCAGCCTGCCAGGCCGCACAGGGAAGCCCATCTTCACCAGTGGCCGAGTGCCGAGCGCGAGCGAGGACCGACTTCATCATCGTGAACGAGGGGGGCGGAAGGACGAGGTCACCGATGGGAGGGGGCAACTCACGAATGCAGGGTGCCGCCGCATTCTCGCCCCACGCCTTCTTCGAGAAAACAGGCGCCCAGAACTCACGGGGGCGCGAGGGCCTCTCCTCGGGCGTAGACGCAGGGGGGGGGGGGGGGGGGGGGGCCCCCGATCCGCAGCAGTGACAGTGGTGTGCGAGACCCGACGGTTGAGAGGAGACCAGGTTCTCGCACGCCTCTCCAGCGCACGCAATTTGGCCCGAATACGTGGCGACTCGCCATCGGCTTGCGAAGCTCAGCACGAGTAGCCTCCGCCGCCTCACGCTGAACTCGATTGGACCAGGCCAACGACGATTCGGGGTGGCGCAACCGTGCTGCACCGAGCCCAACCACCAGGAAATCGGATGCAACAGGATGAGAGCGGAGTGGTTGTTCCCCGAGATCAGTATCCTGCCTCCGCACACACACACACACATACACCGAGCGATCGAGCGTGCCAGCTGCAAAACAGCGCGTGGATGGTGGGGATGAGCACGAAAGAAACGATCGCGAGTCTCCCCAGCGGCGATGCAACCAGCTCTTTGCAACGCTCGAGGCGGCGAGGTGGGGGGGGGGGGGGGGGGCGAGGTAAGTCGGCACATTCAACGAGGGCCCGCGGCCGCTGACGATAGAACGAGTCCTGGAACACACGACGGTCGATCGGCTGCCTGCCGATAGGACGGGGGCGCCTCGGCGAGAGCGCGAGGACGACTGCAACATGGTCCAATAAAAGAAAAGCAGATACCTCGGCGGCAGTCCCGATAGCGTTAGCTTGCAGGAACAACTGACATAACATCCACCCAGGGCACGAGGGGAAAAAACAAAAAATCGATGCATGATTCAGAGTTGCTGGATTTTTTTCCGTAGCGGGTGGGCGTCGTGCACTCCACCTCTACAAATTCAGCAAG